ACAAGCTGGACGGGGTAGGTCTCCTCAGGCCAGGGTGGCTCTGCATCATCTGCTGTGCCCTGCTGCGAGATCAGACCCAGCCCCCCGTGACTCAGGCCCAGCCCCCAGTGACTCAGGCCCAGCCCCCAGTGACTCAGGCCCAGCCCCCAGTGCTCAGGCCCAGCCTGATGGAAGAAAATTCTTTTTTTTTTTTTTAAAAAAAAAAACATATTTTTTATTGATTGTTCACAGAGAGGAAGGAAGAGGGATAGAGAGAAACATCAATGAGAGAGAAACATCGACAAGCTGCCTCCTGCACACCCCCTACCGGGGATGTGCCCGCAACCAATGTACATGCCCTTGACCGGAATCGAACCTGGCACCTTTCAATCTGCCTACTGACCCTCTATCCACTGAGCCAAACCGGTTTTGGCAGGAAGAACGTTCTTGCAGGGACATTCAGCCCCGTCAAGACTTTCTACAAGGGATCTGAGCCCAAGGGAGAGTGCCAGTGAGGGAGACAGATTGAGCAGAACGCCTGCAGAGTCTGGGTCTGGGTCAGGGCCAGAACTGTCACAGCCGGTAAGGTAAGAGCTACAACGGTGGACTTTCTGGAATCTGAAGATTAAGCTGGCATGCACAGCTCACCTGAGGAGATGGCTGTATGTGGGTCAGAATCCTCCCTGCCTGGTCACTCATGTGCTGATTCGTCCCACTTCAGTCAACAGGTATTGATTGAGCGCCTACTCTGCACCAGCCACTGGGCCAGAAACTGGGGCCACAGTTGTGAGCAAGGCCGGCCCGACCCTCCTGACACATGCCATCTGGAACATGTGCAAAGCCCTGAGGCAGCATCCACGGCACGAAGGCAGCAAAGCCTTTTCCCGGGACAACCTGCGGTCCTTTCGTTAGCAAGGCGACCTCTTCCACCCTCCCCTTCCTCCGCCCCCAGGTCTTCCAAGTTCTGGGTCCAGAGCCAGATTCTCCCATGCTGCACCTGGGCAAAGCCCCCCAAATCCAGAGGCCACTGTGCTTCCTCCCCCCTTTCTAAACGCTATGTTGCTACCACAGCTCTGGAACTGCATAAGGGACCAGGGTTCCTGAGCTCTATGGCTGTGGGTAGGTCACTTAACCTACGGTATCTGTACATTTCCTCCTCTGTAATGGGGCCTTAGCTGGTCAGAGGATCACATGACATAAGGCCTTTACGCCACTGGCAAACTAAGCTCAACAACAGAGATTCTGAACGTTACTATTGGTCCTTCAGGCAAGTCTGGGAGAGGTCAAGCTGGCCAGAGGAGGAGGAGTGCTTTTTGAGGAACTGAGTTTTATGCCTCTTGTTATAGGTGGGGGAACTGTGGCATAGAGAAGAGCAGGACCCAGGGGGGGGGGGGGGTGTCACACAGCATGTCAGAGGACCCTGCTGCTTGGTCCGAAGCATCCCTGCAGCTCTCTCCTGACCTCCCCCCACCCTCCAGGGTACTAGTACCCAGAGAGGGGCAGCCATTGGTCATAATTTCTGATGAACCTCCCCCAAAAGCCCCAAAGCCTTACTACAGAGACTTACTACAATGCTCCCCAGTTGCTCTCGGAGGCCAGGCAGGACCTCCTGGTGCACAGCGCCACCTGGTGTCAGTGCTTCCCTGCAGGTCTTGGTGGGTCTGTGCACATTAGTACCAGTTGTGGATAGCTGGTCACCTCTCTCAAGCACATCACTTTACAAGAGGGGTTTTTTGGGTGTTTTTGTTTTGTTTTGTTTTGTTTTGTTTTGTTTTGTTTTTTACATCTTTCCAACTGCAAGGGAAGAAAAATGAAAAAGAAGTGAAAGCATAAAAGTAAAAAGGAAAGAATATAAAAATTGATTCTCGCTCACAGACATACGTTATGGGACCAAACAAATAGGAATGAAAGAAAATGGAGGAAAAGACAAAAATAATCAAGAAAGAGGAATGAAGAAAAATGAAAAAATAGAGAAAATATGCACGCCAACTCAGGCCTAGCCCAGCCTAGAAGGGTAGGTGCCAGGGCCCATCAAGACAATCCCAGCCCCTGCCTCCAGGCTGCCTTTGTCCCAGATGTGGGCACCTGGGAGCCAGCGCTTGAGTAGGCAGGACCTGGGGCCAGGTAACCTCAACCTCTGAACACTACACAATCTCTGGCGCCACCTGCTGGGAGGACAAGGCACCACATTTATCCCCGGAAGCTAACCGGTGGGCCCCCGAGACTGTGGGTTCCCCAGCATTGCAGACAGGTGGGTATCATCTCCTTTTCTCAGAAAAGGAAACTGAGGCTACTAGAGAGATGGGACTTGCCAAGGAATAGCCACTCAGCAAGTACAGAATCCTGGCAGTTCCGGGGCAGGCGAGGGTCTGACTTCAAAGTCTTAATGCAAGCCCTCACTTCCCTGAACAATCCAGCCCAGGCACAGAGTGATGTGGTTAGAGGTGCAAGCTCTGGCTACTGGACAGTGGAAGAAGCTGAGGATCAGATAGATTCAGACACTGGGCCCAGCTGTGGTCCTGGGAGAGCAGAGAACCGAAGGTACAACTGAGAGACTCATCAACAACAGGGTTTTGCCCGCCTCTTGATGTCCCATTGGTCAGCACAGCAACTCCTGGCCATGATGTCCTCCCTCAGCTGACATCATCAGGAGGACCCTAGAGCTGAGGACCTGGACAGTCCCAAGGCCAGCTTTGGCCACACTTGCCTGGGTAGGGCCACCCAGAGTCAGACAGGTCGGTACAGGGGCACGCTGGGTAGATGACGCTGTGGGGAACTGGAGAGCTGGCACCTTGCCCAGCGGCCCTGGCACCTCTCAGCTCCAGTTGACACGTGCCAGGTGGGAATAGGGGCCAGTGCAACCAGAGCTTCTGAATTCTCAAGGAAAAACAAAAATCTGAATTTGAAAGTGAAATCTGCTGGTTCTTAAATGTGAATGTCTGATTCAAAATTATAAAGACATACTATCGGGAAAATAAAACACACAGCCATCGATGCCCGCATTTCAGCCCCCGGCCCGCCAGTTTGACACCTCTTGTCTCCGGTAAAATGCCCTCCCAGCTCATGCTCCATGTTGTAACTGTGACAAAGGCCCGCTGGAGAGAAAGGCTTTTACCCCACTTTGCAGAGGCAGCTCTGTGTCTGTGAAGAGATGTGACTTGTTCAAGGCCACACAGAGCCCACTTTCCGGCTCTACACCAAAGCTGCCCCTGCCCATCCCTGGAACAGAACGCACTTCCTCCTTGTACTGCACTGGGGAAGTTACTGCTTCCTATAAAAGTGTCTGCCCAGGATAGGCATCAACTATCGATGGAGGTGACAGCCCTCCCCTTAGAGTGATGCTTCTGGATCCAAAACTGACCTCAGATAATTCCAAATAATCCGTCTGTCACTGTGCTGAAACCCCACCAGGATTCACTCTCGCTGATTAAATATTGAGTCTTTGAAACCTGCCATTTGAAAGACACAAGGTACGCTCTCTCTCTTTCTGGAAGAGACCACTCTGGGCCTTGAGAGCAAGCACTCTGGGAAAGGTTAGTTTGGAAGGAAAAGAGATTAAAAGAGAATGGGCTCTTTTTGGTCTTACGTGTACCCAGGGATCAGGATAGGTAGAACTAGTGTGGGCATCATGGCTCAGAAGGGTCTCAAAGGTGGCCATAACCGTGTGGGTGCCTTTAAGAGGAGGGAGTCTTTCAGAGATGTCAGTGCTTCCCAATGTGTGATGAGGGAGAGAAAAGAAGGGAAGAGGTAAAAGGAAGGAATGTGGCAAGGAGGTGGTGGAAAGGGACGGAGAGAGAGGGAGTCAGGCATAAGGCAGCCTAGCAAGTCCACAGGTCAAATCCCACCAGGAAGTGAGATGACCCCGGCTGGGCAGACGGACCCAGGGAGCTTCCGAAAGATGGCCCGGGCCCAGCAGGTGAGAACCAGCTCACAGCCTGGGGCCTAGACCACAGGCTCAAGGTATGCAGTGTCTGCTCCAGCATGTGTCCTGATTGGTCTGCTTGCAGCCAGCGTGAATTCTGATTGGCTGGGAACCAGCACGTGTTGAGTATTTGGACTACCATTCCAGCAGCCCCAATCCCAGATCCCAGATCCAAATGGAATTGAAGGCTGGGGCAGAGGATGGACCTACCCTGATCCCTGGGTTCACCTAAGACCAGAAACTGCAGGACACCCGGGAGGAGGTGGGGGTTACCGGGGCAAATAGACACATTCCTCCAGCATCGCTGTGAAAGGGGAGGTCAGAGCCCAAAATAAAGGTGAAATACAACATACAGCCCGCTGTGGCCCACCGGAGGGGCAGACCTGCAGTGAGACCTCGGTGGTCTCACCACTCCTCTGCAAGGGAAATATATACTACCCTCAATATGCAGGAAGAAACTGAGGCTCGGAGGGATGGCATCTGAGGCTGATGAGGGGTCACTGGCTCAAGGACCCCCCCCCCCATGGGTCTTGGAGGCCTCGGCTCATTCCATCGTGAGGATGGCCACACCACCCCCATGCCACCAGGGTCTCGGCCCCAAAGGAACCACAGATCAAGATCTCTGTATTATAAATTGACTTTTAATAATAATAAAAAATCTATCATGAATTTAATGAGGAGACTCTGTACATTTTAAAGTAAACCAGTGCACGAGGCCTTGCCCGCCGGGACCCTCTCCGTTTCCCCCCAGGCAGGGCAGGTCCTCGTTTGTATCGCGTCACCAGTGCCCAGCCACAAGCCCGCCTCCGCAGTCTAATGCTCAGGAGGGGACCCCCGGGGCTCCGGGGTCCGATGTTCGGGGAGGCGGGAGGGGCTTCGGGAAACCCACACCCGCTCTCACCACCAGCCAAGGGTGACATCTCCCCGCTCATGAACAGGAGCTCCGGGGATGCACCGCGGAGAGGGGCCCCAGATGGGACGTGGCGCCCAGAAGGCAGAGAGGCTGTCTTCCTGTCCCCCTGGCTGGCGGAGAAGCCCCCAGCTCCCTGCTCTGAGAGACCATCGACAAAATAAGTTACAGAAGCTGCCAGCCAGGGTCTCCTTCGACCCTCTGACCTGCAGGACACACCGGCGTGGGACAGCATCTCAGGTGGGTGGTTCAGGCCCCTCCAGTCCCCAGACCTGGCCCAGCCGCCGCTCGAACCCTTAGAGCCAGTCATTCCAAGAGAGGAAAGTAAAATTCGTTCTAATACTGGCCAGCTAACGGGGGAATGGGGGGGTGGGGGGGGAGAAGGAACCATAGTTCATAGCTGTAAGCGACACCCTAATATTGAAAAAGGTGCAATGTGTTTGAATTTTCAATAACTTAGTTTTTCTTTTCCTTTTTAGTACTGGGGAAAGCTGTCAATGCTACCTTGTGATGGTCCCGTTAGACAATAATACACCTTTCTTTGAAACTTAAAATGTCAAATAATCACACGGTGGGGGGGGGGGGGGGGGGGGGTCTAAAGTAAACCATAGAGATGTCACGCCACATAAATAAAGCCAGGGCAGATCTTGCGCCCAGGGCTGGCGGCCCCAGTCCCCAGGGCGGTGCTGCCGGAAGCTGGTGCGGCTTTCGAGTGTCCTCGTGGTGACGGACGCTGCCCGGTCCCCGTCTTCCCGGCAGAGGCCCGCTTCCCGAGTCCGCGGAGCAGGTTAGTGCAGGGTGAGCTGGAAGCCAAGGCGAGGAGGCGGAGGCACGGCCGCCTGGAATGTGGGCTTAGAGGGAAGCCAGGGTTTCAAAGTGCAGGTCGAGCCATCCTAGGGAGCCGAGGCCGGGGCCTCCCACGGCAGTGCCCGTGCCTTCTCCCGGGTCCCGGGGCCGGTGTCACCCCTCCGCTCCAGGTTTCCGGCAGAAGTGTGGAGACGCGCGGGCCCAGGCCTATCGGCTCGCTCGTCCGAGAGCGGGGGCCGGGCCGGTCCTGGCAGGCGGCGATGGAGGCTGGCGGCCCGGAGGGAGCAGGAGCAGGAGCCTCGGACGGGCTCAGGCGCGGGCCAGCAGGACCCGCCGTGTCCTCCCGAATCCCAGCTCCAGACGGCGCAGCCAAGCACGAGCGTCCGGGCGGGCGTTCAGAGGTCCCCGTCCACTGGCGGCTGGCAGAGGCGGTAGAGCCTGGCGGGGGAGGGGGAGAGGATGAGGAGGGGCCGGGGCGGGCTGGGACTATTACTCATGTGGCTCCCATCTTTACGTGGACAGGCAGTCCATGCACAGAAAACAAAACCCAGTAGATGTTTAAAAAAAAAAAAAAAACGCAGAGTCGCCAAAACCAGTTTAGCTCAGCGGATAGAGCGTAGGCCTGCGGACTGAAGGGTCCCAGGTTCGATTCCGGTCAAGGGACCTGCAAGGTCTGAGTGGGAGCTTGGTTGCGGGCACATCCCCAGTAGGGGGTGTGCAGGAGGCAGCTGATGGATGTTTCTCTCTCATGGATGTTTCTAACTCTCTCTTCCTCTGCCTTCCTCTCTGTGTCTAGCCCTTTATTTATTTATTTTATTTTTTTGCTTAATTTACTCTTGGGGCCTCTCCCTGCAGGACACAGAAAGCTGCCTTCTGAACGTCTCCATCAGAAGGATACCGAGTCTCACCGCCAGGTAAGAAGGAGCCACCAATGGCTTCCAAGCACAAGAGGCAGATCGGCCGCAGGGAGAAGGGCTTCGGTGACACGGACCAGACGGCGAAGCAAAAACGGCCCAGGGGTTAGGAGGCTGGCCCCCGGGCCTGGACGGCCTGGGTCAGAACCTCAGCTCTGCCGTTTACGAGCTGTGCGACCTCAGGCAAGGTACTCAACCTCTCTGTGCCTCAGCGCCCCCAGCTGCCAGCTGGGCATCATAACAGTATCTTGTCCACAGAGTTCGGGTTGGAGTCAGTACGTGTAGGAAAAGAGATTGCAGCGGTGCCTGGGGTGGGGTGAGTGAACAGACAAAAGCCCTCAGAGGAAGGGAGGGCGAAAACCGCAAGGTCTGTGTGGGAGCTGCCCGGCCACCAGCCCGGTTCCTGGCCTCGTGGATGTCCCGTGGCTACGGGAGAGCTGGGTGCAGGGCACCCTCTCGACTACTTGTGTCACTTCCTGTGAGTCAAGCTGTTTCAAAACAAAGTGACTTAAAAATTGTGAGCAGTGCTGATAGCAAACTGGGCAGAGGGGATGGAGAGAGAAGATGGGATGGATAGGAGCTACTGCTGGGAAAGCGGCAGCACAGGGCACCGCCAGCCTGGCTGGAATCGGCATGGAGAGATGATGGCATTCTGAGGACAGGAAGCAGCGGATGGACTGAGGGCCTGAGGGCAGCAAGGAGGCAGAGCAAGGGCGGATGTGGGGGGGGTGGGGGGGGATCCCAACAAATCCTTGCCCATGGCTCATGTTGGGGCCTTTGTGTCATCTTCCCAGACGCAGTAGGTGCTCCTCTGGGGAGTAAAAAACTGAGCTTGCTTGTCACTTCCCAAAGTGGGGCCCCATAAGTGAGAGGGGAAGCCCCGTAGGACTACCCAGGGGTCTGCCTGGGGTGAGGCCAGGAGTTTGATGCCAGCCCAGGTCCTGGTCTTCTGAGAGGAGAGGAGGGGAGGGGAAGGGAGGGGAGGGGGAAGGGAAGGACAGCCACTCACCGAGGTGCGCCCTGGGGCATCTGATCCTTGACCCACAGGTTTTTGGCCAGAATCTCCACCCTGGGGCCCTGGGAGGAAAGAACTGTGAGGCTGGGACCGTTCGGGACATGTGAGCAAGCACGGGCGTGGGTGCGGTGCGGAAAGATGGAGAGCAGGCCCAGAGGAGAAGTCCTGGGCCCCTTTCAGCTGGGGAGAAGGGCCACGGGGCAGGCTGATGATGGCCCAGCCCCCGACGGCCCCCTCATCCTGCTCCCAGCCCGAGGTGCCCGGCCAGAGCGCCCTGCAGCCGGGCAGGGCTGCCTCACCTGCTTCCGCATGATGTCCGTGGCCTGCATGATGCACTTGGGGAGCAGCCCGTGGCTCCGAGCCAGGATGGCCGCCTGCTCCAGCGAGACACTCAGCGTGCTCCTGTGGGGAGGGGCGGGGGGCAGGGGGGGGGAGTGGCGGCAGGTGAGACGGGCACTTCCTGCCCACCGCGTGAGGCCTCTGAGCGCACACGCCAGGAATAGCCACCATCAGACCATCACCTAGCACAGCCTGTCAGGCCCTGGCCTCACATCCTCCTCTCCCCAGGAAGCCCTTGCCTCCGGGCTGAGCACTGCCCCCACCCCCAGATAATTAGAGGAACCCCCCACCCCCCTCCTGCACACCACACAAAACCAGCATTTGACTGCTACCCTCTGCACCCCTCTGATGCGCCAATGTCACACATTGCCTCCCCACCCCCCAACCTTTGCTCTCTGACCCTCCCAGGGCCAGCTCCGAGCTCACCTCTGCATGCCTGTGCCACACATGGCAATCTGGCAAGCCCCCAGGCGGTAGCAGAGCTCAGAGGAGATGGGGATGAGGCTGGCACCCAGGCTCCCGGCGGCACCAGGTTTGGGGTGGACCAAGGACTTCATGAGACGACAGAGCTCATCCAGGGCGTTGATGGGACGAATCAGCTGTAAGGTGCACAACCCCATCCATCCGGACAGTCTGAGGAGGCCCCCACCCGGCCTCCTGCCCCATCCACTCCCTCCAGTCCAGCTCAGCTAGTGCAGCGTCCTCCAGGCTCCCCTCCCCGGGGGTTACAGCCCCATTAATCTCCCCCGGCCCTGCTCAGGGACCATCTGTGGCTCCCCACTGCCCCACAAGCTGGCCTTCGGTGCTCACAGTGTATTTCAGGTCTAACCTTCAAATCTCATTCTCTTCACGTGCCCAGGTGAGCCCCCGGCTAAGCCTGAAGGAAGTGCCCTCTGCCAGCTGTCTCAGCCAGCCCAGCTCACCTCCCGGGAAGAGCCTGCCGCCTGCCCCAGCTCTCAGCCGCACTGTGGAGGCACGCTACAACAGGGCGGTCTGCCAGCTCTTTCTGGGCCGTCTTACTATCCTGCCAGCGAAGCTACAGGCCCCCGAAGGGCCACGGCCACCACTTCTCTCGGGACGCCCAGCCTCACAATCCTGAGGCCAGTACCCCCTAAGCCGCTGTCAAGCCTGAGGCCTGCCTGAGGCCGGGCCGTGGGTGACAGGCCCGGAGCCCTGCCCACGCAGCTCCACAGGGGACGCACCTGGTCTATCTTCACCGCCGTGGTGCTGGCGTCTGTGGGCAGGTTCGACCGCTCCAGGTAAAATGCCCTGGGAGAGACAGATATGGGCTTGCTGGGGGGTCGCCATGCCCCATCCATGCAGCCCCCACCCACTGCCGCCACAGCCCCTCTGCCCGCCCACAACGCTCAGAAAGAAACCAGAGAGCGCCTTGCACAGTTCTCCACGCCCACAGTCACCCGTTCCTGCAACAGCCCGAGGCGGGGAGCACAAGGGGCCTGCCAGGCACCCCTCAAATGCCACCTCTCCCTGATGGCCCATCCTGATCAGTTGGTCAACACCTGATGCCCCTCTCTCTCTCTCACCCCTTGTCTTGTGTATCTGTCCTCTGAAAACTCTCACCACTTAACACGTGACATCACTCTCTTCACTGGCTTATTACCATCACCCCCTCGGAAGCAGGATTGTAGCACAAGATAAGCTGAAGACATCCATATGGAAATGAGCGTGCATGTGTGCTAATAAAACTTTATCGACAAAACAGGAGATGCGCCAGACAACTGCTGCTCTAGAATCTATGCTCCATGAAGAAGAGGCTTTATGGGCCCCTGCTGACTCCCGAGCCAGCACCCAGAAGGGAGCCCGGCCCACGTGTGCGGAACGAAGGAAGGAATAAAGGAAGGATCAGAGCTGTGATATTTTAAATATTCAGCAGCAGCATGGAGCAGATTGATGGCATCGATCAATCCGAAGAGATGCCACTTTTAATAACGAAACTGGGTGTTTTCCCTGAAAGCATCAGCTTCCCTTTCCAAACAGTAAAGCCAAACCCCAAACAGGGAAGCCCTTACCCAGCCCCTCTGCTGATCTTCAGCCTCCTCTCCGCGGAGGGAGAAGGTGAGGGGAAGGAAGGGCTGGGGTGCGCGTGGTGGTAAGGGGAGCTGCCTCCCTGGGTGTGAGGCTTCCTCTGAGAATGTGGCCCCTGCTCCCTCCACTTCCCTCCGAGGGTCTCCTCGGAGCCAGGCCAAGGCCCTGGGGCCACACCCCTCACTCACAGGCTCAAACATCCCATCCAGCTCCCACCACACAGGAAATGAAACAGGCGCTCCTCTGGGTCGCAAGGACCTTCTTGGAAGCCACACAGACCCAGGTCCAAGCTCAGGCCAGCCACCATCTAGCTCTGTGGCTGTGGGCAAGCCGGGTCCGCACTCTGGGCTTCCGTTTCCTCGTCTATAAAGTGGTTTAGAATGACTAACCGGGACTGTTGTGAGAATCTGATGAGCATGGTAGGCAGAGCCTGGCACACAGTAGGTGCTCAGGAAAAGGCACTTTGCCCACGCCCATGCTGGGGGCCTGTCTGATGCCCTATATTCTAATACCCAGTTCCCGCAGCAGTGTCTAGTTTCCTGTCCCCAACGGGTGCCCCGGGCAGATACCTGAGTTTGCGGTAATACTGCTGAACCTTCTCCAGGGACTGGGTGTTGATCTCCTGTTGCAAGTCTTCCGCCACCTGGCTGCCCGGAGGGGGAGGCCCCTCTGGGTTCTCCAGGGCTGTGAAGGAAGAAAGGGGGGCCAGGTGGTGGGGTCCCGGTGTGCTCTGAGCCTTGGGTGTCCCCTGGGGGCCCCACTCGGCACCCCACTGCTCACCTTTCGTGAAGAGCACGGTGTGCAGCCTCAGGCTGCCCCCGCTCTCCAGGCGGGAGGGCAGCTTGGAGAAGTGGTAGCTGTCGAGGTAGAAGATGACCTTCAGCGCCTGCCGGCTGCCCTCAATGTGGTAGAAGACATTGGTGTCTGTGGGAGGACATGGTGGGGCAGGGCAGGTGACCACCCAGGCCCAGGGGAGCCCTGCCCACCGTAGTTAGGGCAGCTTCAGACACCCAATGGCATCTCCCTATTCTCCCCACCCCAGAGGGGTGGCCTCAGAACCCCGTGCCTCCTACCTTCAGGGTGGTATTCTGGGTCTCCCTTTCTGACCTCAGACCTCCCTGCCCTCCCCTCCTCTAGGGGTAGCCTCAGACAGCCCAGTCCACCCATACTCAGAAGAGCAGCCTCTGACCTCCCTTTTCTCTTCTTTCAACAGGTTCCAGTTACCACTGCTCAATTCTCAGACCTGACACTGGTTTTGCCCATCTTGGGGGTTGTCAGTGTTTGTCTTCAGAGCCTCAGGAATGTTTCCTGTACTCCTCACCTGGTGCCCCAGGCCTCTACCTGCCAAACGCTGCCCTCAACCAGGACCTGCATTTATTTACACTCATAGGGTACAGCTTATGGTAGGCATGGTGTTAACATGGCAGACATCATTAATCAATCACCAACACCCCATCGGGCACCTATGGCAGACATAACTCATCAATCAAACTCATCAATCATTAGTTCTCCCTAAGCCCAACGGTTGCCTATCGATAGAACTGACCATCAATTCCAATTGGCACCTGAAACAAAAGCTATGGTCCCTCTAGATTCTCACATATTCTCAACAGGGTGATGTCATCCCTAAGGAGGTGAAAATTGGTTCTTGAGGCGATGGCCAAAAGAAGAATACTCTTTTTATGAATAAAGCACATACAGAGTACCTAAACAGGCATATAGTATATCCGTGGTCTTAAAATGTAATGGGGTTGCAGCAATTAGGGAAAAAACTACACCGACGCCTTACGGAGGAGGTAATTTTAAAAAGTGAAGAATCGCTGATCTAGAGCAGTGGTTCCCAAATGAATGTGCTTCAAACCCGCCCAGTCCCTTCAACACCGGCCTCTGGGCTCTGCTTCGGGAGTTTCTGGTGCAGGTCGGGGCTGGGGCCTGAGAATTCACCTTTCTAACGAGGTTCCGCTGGCTGCAGTCCACGAACCACACTCGTAAGAAAGTGGCAACAGACCCCAGCCCAGGGGTCCTCCATCCTGGCTGCACCTCAGTCACCTGGAAAGCTTTTCTAGAGCCCCAATGCCCAGGGTCCACCCCACACAGTGAGTCCGGCCGGACTGGGCAGAGGCTAGGGTGGGGATCGATATCTCTGAATACAACAGCCGGGAATGAGACCAGAGGGCAGGAGCCAGGCCCATATTTCTCCACGGTGGCCCCTGAATTGAAAACTGTGCCTAACACACACTCTGTGCTCGTACTTAGGAATGAGTGGATGAATGGGCTGGTAGGTGAGTGGTGGATAGATAGGTGAATGGGGATGGATAAGTAGAGGGATGAATGGGTGGATGGATGAATGGGTTGATGAGGGAGGGAGGGAAAGAAGGAGGGAGGGAGGGGCATAACTGCGCTATAAATTCTTAGAAAATATTAACAAGTCTTCACCCTAGTAACGGATATTTCTAGAAACTTTAGTAAGAACTGGGTACTGGTTGCTGTTCCCTCTGAAGAGCTTTTGGAGACAACCGGGTTTATACAAAAAAAAAAAAAAAAAATAGAGCCTCTTTTTCCATGTTCGCTGAGAGCGTGAGGTTCGAAAGAACCGGGTCCGAGGTCCACCTTGGCTGCTGGCCTGGTGGCAGGGTGGTCCCCGGAGCAGCTCCCGACTCCCATGCAGGGGGCGGGGGGAGTCACTCACTGGCCACGTAGTTCTCGTCCAGCTGCTTGAAGGAGAAGGAGACGGTGTCCAGCTCCGACAGGGTCACCCAGAGGTCCTCCAGCATGGTGCGCTCCTCCCTCTGCGGGGGAGACAGGGGAGGGGCGTCAGGTGCCACCCTGCCCCAGGCCAGGGCGCTGTGACTCAACACCAGCTGTAGGCCTGCCAAGCACGAGGCTCCGCTGGGCTCCACGAGGCTGGCCGTGACACCAGGTTCCCTTGTCCTGAACCTCCCAAGGCTAGAACCCAGCTCTGCTCTTGCCCGGACTCTCCCAGCAACCCATCTCAGCCATCTCGGATGTAACACATCCCCAAAAGTCCTTCTTTTCCTCCTCAGCCCCCTGCCATGGGCCCCTCAGCAAAGAGAACCAGCATCTGCTCAGCAGACCAAGCCCTACACTGTGACCTCAAGGACCTCTTGATTTCTCTATCTGCTCACCCTATACTAGTACACTGCCCATCCCCAAGTCCTGATAGGTTGGCTGACCTTCAAAACATTCCCCATATCCAGCACCTCCCTCAACCCTCCTCACCACCCCAACACAGACCTGTCTCCCCAGGAGGACCACACCAGCCTTTTCACAGGTGCCCCTATGCCAGCCTTCCCCCGAACACGGGGCAGCCAGGATAAAACCCAAGGTGCAGAGGGAGCGGGGCAGCCTAGGGGTCACCAGGCCTAGTCAGGCTCCTGGGGTTGCCCTGTGACAACTGCTCAAAACCTCTGAACGCTTCCCTCTGCTTCCAGAATGGAGTCCTAGGCCCTGCTAACATCAAACCCTGATCCCCCCCGCCTGCTCCCCTCCAGCCACACTGGCCTCTTGTGTGGGACCTTTGCACATGCTGTTCCCTCTGCCCAGCACACTCTTCCTCGGACCGTGTACCTAGCGGGCTGCCTTGGTACTCAGGTCTCAGCTCAAACATCACCTCCTCAGAGAAGACATCTCTGACCATTTCAACCCGAAGAAACTTAACCACCTTCTAAGTCTTCAGTGTAACTACCTCCTGTCCATGTCTCCTCCCTCTTCCTTCCTTCCTTCTTTCCAAGCTGCCTCCCCCAACTAGAACGTGAGCTTCTGACACCCTGTGCCCAACTCAGAGCCTGGCACACGGTGGTGACTGGTGAATTAGTGCACTGGGCCCAGGGCCCTTTATCTGAGAACAGAAGGTGAGGGCTGAGTGTTCCTGGCAGCCTTTCCAGACCCCAGTGGCCCTTTCCAGGAACTAGGTGTAAGCGATCTGTGTGCACAATCGGCCAGCAGAGGGCGCACCTAGACCATGCTTTCCCAACAGCCAGCAGTGGTGGCTTTCAGCCCAGCCTGGGGAAATGTCTAGGAAGCTCAGGGCAGTAGCGGTTGGGGAGCTCCGGACTGGGAACATGGGGTGCAGGCCCGAACAGCACAGAGAATTGCTGCAGGCTTCATTTCTGGGGGACGTCGGCTCTGGGCCCCAGCACCCTTAAATGATGAGTCCTTGGTGCTGCCTCCTGGGGGCCCAGAGAAACTGGACTTGCTTCTGAGCCCTGAGTGACAGGACAGTGGGATCGGAGATAAGGAGGAGATGCAGAGAAAGCAGGGCCACCCAGGGGCTAGAGGGCCTACAGTTAGATCCCCGGAGTTCAAATCTGGCTGCCTGGGTCTCGGCGTTCTCATCCTTAAAACGGGGAGAGTAAAAACCCTGCCTCGGAGCTAGTGCGAGATGAAGTGAGATTCCGCCTGCACCGAGGAATCAATCTCACCTGGATCATTACAAACGCCTACTCACTGGCCGCCCCGCTGCTGGGCTTGTCCTCACGGTCCTCCCCACCAAGGAGCGTGAGTGGTTCTTTCAGTGTCACCATCAGATCCCATCCCGCCTCTGCTCAAAACCTTGCCATGGCTCACACCCACTCAGAGCACCAGCCAACGTCCTGTAAGTCCCCACACAGTCTGACCCTGTCCGTTCTGAAGACTCGCTCCTCCCGCCCCAATTCCTTCTGCTCTATCCATAGACCCACCCTGCAATTTCTCAAACACTGCCTCAGGGCCTCTGCCTCTGCTAGGCTCTCTGTTTGAGAGACTTTTCCCAAGATCCTCGTGGCTCACTCCCTCTCCCTTTTCAGTTCCTGGTCAGCTGTCACCGTCTTAGGGAGGCCCTCCCTGGCTACCTTATCGAAACGTCCAATGGCTGTCGCCCTATCTTTTCCTGTCCCCTCCCCTGCTTAATTTTTCTCCTTAGCTTGTATCACAATGTCTGAGGAGCCCGTATCACTACACACCAGGGTTTCTCAAGGGTGACACCACTGGCGTTTAGGGCCAGAGAATTCTCAGGGGAGTGGGGGCCATCCTGTGCGTTGCAGGATGTTCAGCGGTGTTCCTGGCCTCGACACGCTTGACACGAGTCTCCCCTCACTGTGACAACCTGAAATGCCTCCAGACACGGCCACGTGTCCCCTGGGAGGAAAACTGCCCTGGCTGAGAACCACGGGTCTACAACCGCGTATTTTACTCATTTATGTCTACCTTTCCCCACCAGGAGTTAAGAGCCCTGAGTACAGCCCTGTGCATGGCCCTCAGCTGATCCCCGGTGCCCATAAGGGTGGCACATTGTAGGTGCTCATGAACAGCGGCTGAATGAACCAGGAGGGACAAGAGCCTGAGTGAGTAAGCAGGAGCTCTCCTGCCCAGGCTCCCAGGGCACACTCCTCCCCCGTCCCCTCACTCACCACGGTGGCTGGCGACAGCAGGGACTGGCAGTGCAGGAGGACGCCGGTGGCTGCCACCTGCTCCAACCACTTGCGGCTGGCGTCCCGGCTGCTCTCCTCGTACTCGCCATTGTTGTTGTAGCGGTAGCTGAGCGCCGCCAGGAGCTGCTCGGAGAAGGTGCACACGGCGGCCACCAGGGCCTGGCAGAAGATGGTGTCCCTCCTCAGCTGCAGCTCAGTGTCTGGAGGGCGGAGACGGGCTCGCTGGGCAGGGGCTCCTGCCCCACGCCCCAGAGCCCAGGCCCACAACCAGCCACCAGCCCCAGCAGGCCAGCCATCCGGGGCCAGCTTGCTCAAAATCAATCCCGACCACCAAAAGCCAACCCCACAAGAATCAATTCTCCAAAAGCAAGCCAAATTACTGAAAATCTCAACTCTCTCATTGATCCATCTGCCTTGTGATTTTGCCTAAGGCTTTCCCAAAACCTTACTCAGCTGTTTCTCCGTTGGTCAGGGGATTGCTCCACCTTGGCTGGCTGGACAGCAATGGCGCCAAGCATTTCTGCCAAGCTCCGGGCTTTCAGAAATGCTGTGTACCATTTTCTCTGTTTTTGAGAAGCCTCTTCCTGGCTACCCCTTCCTCGCCCCTGTCCTGACATGGTTTGCAGAACGGGCTAATTTCAGGCAATCATTCATCCAGGGCCCGATCCTCCTGAGGGAATTATTTTCAATGACTGGCTCTAGCCAATTGATTCCCAGACACCGATTTTGACCTAATCTTATTTTAGCTGCCACTTGACGGAGAATTTCTGGGAAGAAGGGAGGGATAGAGAACACCTCCCAGCTTCCCCGAGCCCACCATCTGCCCTTCCTCCTCCCCACTGTCTGCCAGGTGGAAGTCCCACACGGGGCTGAGGACTCGACTGGCAAAGACCCTCCCTGGTCATCAGTCCTCTCTCTCCTGTCCTCAGGCCTGGGAGGTGGCAAGACACAGGGCTCCTGGCTCCAGGGCCCTAAGACTTGACCCTGGACTCAAGTGGAGGAAGCAAATGAGGCCTAAGTAGTTGTAGGTACAAGAGCCATGAAGTCACTCCCTCCCCCAGGTCCAGGCCCTGATGACCAGGGGAACATGGACCTCGCCAGCAGACCAGGCCTCCCAGGGCTGCCGCCAGGAGCACCACTGCCAGCCAGGACGTCCTCTCCTGGATACACCTCCGTGTGCCAATCACAGAGTTGCTGCTGCAAAGCCCTCACCTGTGCATTTCAGCAAGGCCAGCAACAGCTGGTTCTTCCCATCTGGAAGGAGAAGCAGAGAAAAGAATGAGCCGAGAGGAGTCAGCACAGATTGGAGCAGAACTGGGTCCTCCCTGCAGCCCATGCTCCACGCCCTGCGCAGGGACGCTCTGGATAGGCACAGTCACGCTGCTCTGATGGAATGTTGGGTGAGTTCCAGAAACCCTCAGTTTCCAGGGGATGGAACCACAACTGCTAGCTGTACCCCAACTGTTTACATATACCCACCAAACAGAGACTGAAACCAGTCCCTTCCGACTCCCAGGCCAGAGACCCCAGCCCACACCTTGTACATGCATGTGTGGACACACGCTTATATGCATACATGTTCATGCAAGCACACAGGCACGTATGCACATTCTACACAGCCACAGCCCTGAACCCGCATAGACAAAGCTCAGACCTTCTGAACACAGGCCTAACATCCTGGTCTCTTTCCTTAAAAAAAAAAAAAAAAGGCTCTTAGACCCACAAAGGGTTTAAAAGAAAAATCTGAAAGGCCAACTCAGGGGCGCTGTTCCGGGGAATGGCTCTGCAGCTTTGCCCTCCTGCTGTCCTGGTCAAATGTCTCCTGGTCTAGAGTCCTTCTAAGCCAGGAGTACCGGACTCAAATGCTGCCAAGGGTCAGGCAAGCAGCTGTGTGAGGCAGACACCAGGAAGCAGGCAGTGATGAGGGCTGTGTGAACTGGAAGTCGCCCCTCTCCCATCTAAGACGGCAGCTGCCACTCATCACCCAAGTGTGACTGTGGGACTGCAGGCCTGATTAGCGGCAGATCCCCTGACCTAGATTTTTATGTGACATCTCAGGTAATGGAACACTGGCAACCGATTCACATTTTTTTTGTGTGCTATATCATCAAAGCCCACCTGTGGGCCCAAGTCTGATCGGGAAACCCCTAGCCTGTGGCCTTGATAATAAAAGGAACTGAATTAAATCTACAATTTCCTAAAAAGGAGGAGTAAGTGCAGCCTTCTCAGCCTCCTCTCTCTGCAAGGAACTGCCAGCACCCAAGTCAGACGTTCCTTAATCATGTGACTATACACAGTCCCAGGGCTCTGCCCAGGGCAGGACACTCAGCTGAGGAAGAGGCATGAGTCCCCCTGGACATGGAGATGGCCCCACTCCTGGTCCTTCCACATTCCACATTAAGAATCAATAGCCACAAAACCGCCACGTTACCCCTCCCTGCCCAACCGACCTTCCACGTATTTCTGAATGTTGTCCACGAGAGTCTTGATGGAGTTGGGGAGGTTCCAGGGGTCCTCCTGGATGCTGATCTGGATCAAGCTCCGGCCACGAATTGTACACTCTTCTTTCTGTTTGAACTCTGCGGAAGGAGAGTGGTATTAGGGTGGGAAAGAGACAGAGGTAGCTTTGGAGAACGGTGGCACAAAGGCCTATGTCCCATCACCAGATTTCAAAGCTCAGAATCCAAGATCAAGGATGCCGGCTGGACTCGGGTATTATCTGGTCCACGGAGGGCAAACACATGGTAAGTGTGCTACTGATTCATAGTACCACACCCATGGCAGACAGCACTCATCAATCTTAGCACACCTTCCCACTAGATGAGGTGTAACTCCTCACCACTGATACCAATCCAGGGCAGACATCACAAATCCATCACTGCATTCTTTTCTCCTTTATAAATGAAAATATCATTCTCAGGTCAAGTCTATATAGAACCAGGATATGGGCTGGATTTGACCCATGGGCTAAACTTGCTGACCCCTGGATGAAGCATTAGCCACTGGACAGGAGAGGGTCAAGGCCGAGAGTGTGAGCCCGTATCCTGCCCATCCCCACCCCCGTTGGCACACATTCCCCATCCTTGCCATCTTGTTAGATGCTGGATGTCACTCCCAGCCCTGCGGAGGGGCGGCCCTGTGCTCACCTTGCAAGCAGTGGTCCATAGGGAAATGCTTGGTCTCTTCGAAAGCCCTGCTCATGACTGGCCCCTTGAGGAGAGCGTGGATGGAGTCCACCTGGCGGCAGGAGGCTCGAGGTTAGGGTGGCTCCTGTGGCCTCCAGGTTGCGGGGACCCTTGATTCCCAGCGCCTAACCCGGGTTCTGGCTTATGGGTCCTCACCACGGGCGACGGGAGAAACCCGAGGTCCAGCCAGGGGTGGGGACAAAGGTCCTACCTGGTTGAAGAGATGCTCCAGGCAGCCGTGAAGCTTGTCCTGCTTGTCTGATGGAATCCGCATGTCACAGGGCAGCTCGTCCCCTGGCGGAAGGAAGAAACCACAGCCATCAACAAGCCATTTCCGACCCATCTCACACCCTCCCAGCCTCCTTCCCACGAAGGCTACAGGGCTGCAGAGCTCCAAGCCCCACAGTGGATTTGGAGCCTCATGGATTCGGATCCTGGTTGTGTGACACTGGGCAATTTTCTTGACCTCTCTGAGCCTCCATTTCATAATCTTCAACATGGACAACAGGAACTAGAGCATTACACAACTGTAAGCCCTTGTTTTTATTTCCGAGGCTCTGCAAATGAGGAGGCTGCGAGCCAGAGAGAAGGAACTGGATGGACCCCACATCTCCGACCTACCCCCCAGCTGTTTCAGTTCAGTCAGCCGCCTCATGGAAGCTCCTTCTCCAACCTCCCCAGGGAGAGTTTTTATAGCCAAATATCTTACGCGATGAAATATTTATCTAAAGTTCAGCAATATCGTCAATGTTCCTTGTGCTTCTCTTTCTTCTGTCAAATTGAAATTAAATTTTTATGCCCAGACTATCCCTGGAAGGTCATACAACGCAGCTGTGGCCGTGGGGGCGGGGGACCAGGAGGATGGGTCGCAAGGTGGGAGGGAGGCTTGTCATCACCCGCCCTCTCGTGCCTTTTCAGTTATGAAGCAAGTGGATTTATGGCCTATTCACAAAATAAACTTTTTAAACGTGGAAATCAATACAACTTAAATCAAAGCCAATTTCAGTCTTTCAGAAAAAGCTGTAGGTACAGCATGATCTAATTCATGGAGTATTATGTCTGTCTGTCTGTCCATGTGTGCAGAACTGTGTTCACCAATGGTCTCCACATGTGACAGCTGGTCACTCCTAGGGGTTCTGATTTACTGTCATATACTTCTTTTTGTTTGTTTGTTTGTTTTTAATATATTTTATTGATTTTTTTTACAGAGAGGAAGAGAGAGGGATAGAGAGTTAAAAACATCGATGAGCTGAAACCGGTTTGGCTCAGTGGTAGAGCGTCGGTCTGCGGACTGAAGGGTCCCAGGTTCGATTCCAGTCAAGGGCATGTACCTTGGTTGCTGGCACATCCCCGGTGGGGAGTGTGCAGGAGGCAGCTGGTTGATGTTTCTCTCTTATCGACATTTCTGGCTCTCTATCTCTCTCCCTTCCTCTCTGTAAAAAATCAATAAAATATATTTTTTTTTAAAAAGAAAAAGAAAAACATCGATGAGAGAGAACATCGATCAGCTGCCTCTTGCACACCCCCTACTGGGAATGTGCCCGCAACCAAGGTACATGCCCTTGACTGGAATCAAACCTGGGACCTTTCAGTCCGCAGGCCGACGCTCTATCCACTGAGCCAAACCAGTTTCGGAGACTGTCATGTACTTCTTTTGAACTTCCCTATGTCGTCTGGATTTTTGGTTTGAGCACGTGTCCTTTTTATGGAAACCATCAAGTCGCCATATTTTAGTGATGTCGGAGCAACTCATCACAATCTCTCATTGCATCATGTATGTTTTCACGTGTCCCGTGTCCGTGACATTCGTGGAGAACCTCAGCTCCATGAGGGCCAGGATCTTTTGTTTTGTTCGTGGTTGTGATCCCAGCGCAACACGGGGGCTCGGTAAAATGTGCTGAACGAGTGACTAAAAAGCATCGTGTAAAATAACACGGAGGAAAGTGTAATAAAGTAGAAGTAAACCAAACCAAGTCCCACGGGGAGCAGACCCCCGGCCCTGGAGCAGGAGCCGCTGACTCACCAGACCCCATCTCGTCGCTGCCCAGGTAGGAGCTGTTACTTCTCACGCTGGTGTAGGACAGGACGGAGTCCCGGTTACTGTTACACTCGCTGCGGAGGGGCAGACAGGAAAACAGGTGTCACCTCCGGCTCACACCCTCGGGTCCCAGAGCCCAGAACCACCTTTCTGGAGGGAGGACAAATCCCTAGCTCCTCGGAGGACAGCTGGTCAGAAAGGGAAGGTTGTCCCAAAGGACCTTCTGATGGTGGAGAAACATTTCTAGGTCCCGGCACAGACATGCAGGAATAGCAAGAGGACAGGTTTTTTTTGCTTTTATTTGGGAGTAAACTTCTGTCACTCCCCTCGTGGGAGAAGCCTGGCTCCTGGACACGTGTGCACATGCCACCCTCGACCACACGGTTCCGTGTCCATCTCCCCATCCTGGCTGGGAACCTCAGGAGGACAGGACCGTGTTCTCTTAGCTTGTGTCCCAGGAACGCGGAAGGTATGGAAATCAAAAACCACAACCCTGAAATTCTTCCCTTCGCCTTTTTGAAAGTTAAAGGAAACATCAGAAGACCCACAAAGGTAAGAGTGGAAACGCAGAGAGAAGGAGAAACGCTGGGCCATGGACACAAGGCGGTGGGAACATCTGCTTATACAGAAACTCAGCCAGAAACACGGGCCAGCCAGACCCCCTCGAAGACTGAAAGACAGAAATGCTGGGAGGCTGGGGCGAAGGTCGTCATGTCAAATTCCAGCGGTTCTGTATTTTGCCCAAAACAACTGACGCGCCCTCCAAGGTTCTGCTCTGCCCACAGGATCAAATGTTACAGAAACTCTCCCTGGAGCCCACAGCGCTTGTTTATTTGTGGTAAGGACTTCCACGTACCCACTGCATGGTTTATTACAGGAAATTGAATTTTTAGTCCATTTAACCCACTAATTAGGACTTCCCTGATCTTGTTATAATTAACTCAACCAGTAAAAAGAAAAAGCAACTCAGACCCTCTCAGAGTTAGGAGGGGGGAAAAACTGCCTTCCTCCTTGGATCAAGTGAAAATAAAGTGTTGGTTGCAGAAACCATGTAAGTTTTAAGACACACCACAGATCTCGACTCTTTCTCATTCTACGAGCATGCGCAGAGTGGCACCGGAGCAGAGTGGACGGGTGGTGCCCACAGGGGGTAGAGCCTGAACATTAGCTTTGGGGGCTTAGACAACCCCCAGAGCCATAGGGCTTAGCAACAGTGCCCCACCCCGCTGCTTCCTGGAGAGAGTCCCTCTAATTCTGACTTTCCCACAGGCCCGTGGCCTCAGCCGTCCCACCGGCCACCCATGTCAAACCCCACATGACGCCCACAGCGGCCCCCACCTGTAGGAGTCACGATAGCTCATGGTGTCATGACCGGAGTCCTCCTGATCCTCCTCAGACACCTTGAAACACACTTTCTTGATGCCCCCGTGGTCAGTCCTATCCATCTCGCTCTCTTCGTTGACCAGTGGGGAGGACGAGGTCTCTTCAGCCAAGGGCGGGTGGCAGGACCCCTCCGAGGTGGGCTCTGTGATGGTGGACAGCAGCCTGCGGGAGCAAAGACTTTGAACTCAAAGGCACATGCTGCTGGTTTCAATGGCCTTCCTGGAGGCTCTAGGCAAGGTCCTGACCTCAGGCCTCACCTCTGGCCCTAACAGAGGAAGCCATCCAATGCTGGGTGTCCCATCCCTGGAAATCCCACCAGCAACTCCGTGGAAGCACTTACACCGTCCCTCATGTAGGGGGCATGAGAAACAGTAGTTCTCTACTTCATGGCCAAGCTATACAAGGTTCGAGGGTATAGAACAAGACTGGGAAACTTGCTGCAGAGGCTCCGAGAGCACCTCTTTTCGGCGTTGTAGGCCATACAACCTCCATTAAAACTATTCCACTTTGGCTCATTCGTGTGAAAGACAATA